TCCCCAGTGCTGGGGTTACAGGTATGCTCTACCACGTTTTGGTGGCCGGCACATATGTGGTACTGGACACTGAACCCGGGTCCTTGTGTTTCCAGGCAGGCGCTTAGACCCTGGCCTGACCCCATTATTTAATATTGTAGGGGGAAATGCTGGCTGGCCAGTGTAGAGCATGAAAGTTTAACCAAAGATTATCAGCTGGGTGTGGTGACACACACGTGTAATCCCAGGATTCAGTAGGCTGGACCAGGAGGATCACAGTGAACTCAAGGCTGACGTGGGCTACAGTGTGAGACTGTCTAAAAACACTCAAAAAAATCATTATTTCTAAATGTGTGTCGGAGAACCTAAGAATCAACCGAAAAACTGTTCAAAAATAATAAGACAATGGAAGAAGGTAGATTATAAAATTACTATTCAAACATCAATGATTTTTTCCCTGATGTGAAGTGACTAATGTAACCTGGGGGTGGTGGCGGTGATCTCAATTCCGGAAGGCTGAGACAGAAGGATGGCCAAGTCTCATCGCAGCCTGCACAGTCTGGTGTCTTTGCAAGACAGTGTCTCAGAATTGAAAAACAAGGGCCAGGCATCCGCCATCTCCGACACAGCTTCGCACTGCATGGGCTCAGCGCAGAGGCTCCATACTGTACTGCTGGGAAAAAGGAAAAGCCCAGGCAGGCCCTGTGACCCCAGGGCAGCTTTGCGGTGGGGCGAGCTACGAGAAGAGAGCACGGACAGGTACCTCAGGTCGTGTGGGCTTCGGTCATGTGAGGCTAAAGCCAGTGGGACGAGACAGCAGTATAGCCGCGTTAAGCATTAACTTAAGTGCTAACACTCCTGCCAAAGGCAGAGGCCTGCTGCAGGCCTCGGTCTACACCCCAGTGGACAGTGGAGAGGCATCCCTGGGGCTTCACCTCCTGCAGGGGCCAGAGGTTAACATGTGCGGGGGGTGTGTGCGTGAGTGCCTGTGGGGGTACACAGGTGCAGCTGCGCTCAGAAAGCGTGGCAAGCGTTGGGAAGGAGACAACAACGTGGTGAGAGCTTGGGAGGCATCACTTAGGCTTGCAGCCCTTCTGTGAAAAGTTGAGGGATGAACCCACTGAGCAAAGCACAAGGCAAGCAAGGTGACTGCTGGCGTCTGGGGGGATGAGCAGCAGCTCTCTGCTCCCTGCCGCGCGGGCTGCGGGAGGGAGTCCCAGTTGCAGAATGCAGGGATGCCAGGAATGACAGGTATGAGGAAGGCTGAGTGCTCCTGGGCAGGAAGCAGCCCCGGGGGCGGGGGTGCAGGTGGACATGGAGCATGGAAGGCTCAAGCGTGCATCATCAGTGTGTGCCGAGCACTTTTTAAGGCTTAGCCGCACTGGGGGATTCTTTTTTTTTTTTTTTTGCGGAACCGAGGATTGAACTCAGACCCTTGCACTTGCCAGGGAAGCGCTTATTCCACTGAGCCATCTCCCCGGCCCCACACTTGGGGATTCTGATCCCCAACAAAGCCACCAAGTTTCCCTTGAAAATACCCCCCAACTCCATCTCAGACACAGCTTTCGCACTGCATTGTCAACTCCAACAGAAATGTTGATTTTTAGACTGCAGTGGTGCTGGGCCCGGAGCCCTGCTGCCCAGGGGCATCCTGAGCCAGTTTTAGTTTATATTGAGACAGGGTCTCACTAAGTTGCACGGGCTGCCCTAAGAGATCCTTCTGTCTCAGCTTCCTGAGGAACTGGGATTACTGATGCATATCACCAGGACTGACTGAAAAATTTCTTCAAACAAAACTGTGTGTGTGTGTGTCTGGGGATCACGCCCCCCCCCCCAATCTTTCAGCAGTCTGAGGCTAGAGATCAGGAAGGTTTCTGAGGCTCCCCAGAGATGTGAAGAGGTGCTTTTGACTACTCAAGGGAAAATCTTCCTTCTTACTTGCTTCCTCTGAGACAAGGCTTGACTATATAGCCCAGGCTGGCCTCAGCCTCATAAGTGCTAGGATTATGGCTCACAATTTCTCTTTATTTTTTTTTTATTTAGTACAGGGTCTACAGGGTCTCACTATGTAGACTGTACTATAATGATCCTCCTGTTTACAGCCTCCCAAGTGCCGGGATTACAGGCATACACCACCACACCCGGGCTCTACTGCCATCTCAGGGCACCCCGGGGATGGGGCCGGCACAACAGGCCTGGGGATTGAACCCCCGGCCCCTGAGCCTGCTTGCAGGCACTTTAATCCGCTGAGCTATTTGGCTGGCCTTCTCACAATTATTCTTTACATACAGCACACAAGTTCTTTCTTCAACATCCTGTTTCCTGTTCAAGGGTATTATGCTCGAAAGTCTTTGTTGTAATCTCCACAAAGGTGAAATCCACAATATTTACTGGGCCGCTTCAATAAGGTGTCCTTTACCTCGCACTGGAGGAGCTTAATAACAAAACAAGGCGAAGGCGCTAGCTGCAAAAAGTGATTCCCTACCTGGGGTTCAGTTCTATGACATTCTAAGTGGCAACGCAACTAGTTGTGTGCGACAGAACATCAGTTTTGTGACAACAATGGATTCTCTTGTTTTTTTCTTTTTTGAGACAGTCTCTCACTGCCAGGCTGGCTTTAAACTCACTGTGATCCTCTGCCTGAGCCTTGCAGGGCTGGGATCACAGGTGGGGGCTACCATGCCCCAGCCATTTTGTTCTCTTTTGTGTGGTGCTGGGGACTGGACTGAACCCAGGTCCTTGCACATGCTAAGCACATCACGGTCTACATAAAAGGAAAGAATGGATACGCAACCAGCACAGCCCACAAAGTAGGTGCTGACTAAATGTGCAGTATTTGAAGACTTTAAAGTGACCTTTAACTGACCAGGCAGATAGCTCAGTGGCATAAGCACCTGCCTGGCAAGTGTAAGGTACTGAGTTTGATCCCCAGTATCAAAATAAATAAATAAACAAATAAAATGACCTTTCAGCCAGGAGTGGTGGTGCTCCCTCCAGGAGGCTGGAGCAGAAGAAATAGTGTAAGTTTTAGCCCAACATGGATACAGGTAACTTTCCCGGGGTTCAGTCCCCAGTAACACACAAATACACACGCATGCATGCTCGTGCCTATGAAAGTAAGAGGAAGAGAAGGACGTTTCAAGCAAGGGAGAGAGGGTCCCTAAGGGTGATAGAACAGGTCGATACTTTGATTAGCATGGAGGATTTCTCCATTAGGGAAGCAACAGGCTGAGAAATGCTGGTGTATAACTTATGTGGACATTCCGGGTCACTGAAAGAGTTATTAGGAAAAGGAATACAAAGTTTAAAGCCCCATTTTAAGAAATTTAACTTGGATGGGCCGGGGAGATGGCTCAGTGGAATAAGCGCTTCCCTGGCAAGCGCAAGAGCCTGAGTTCAATCCCCGGTTCCAGAAAAAAAAAAAAAAAAGAAGAAGAAGAAATTTAACTTGGAAAAGGCATACAAGAAGATACAAGTAAAAGTGATACTAAGGGAATAATTGACAAAACAATTATGATGATTCAAATTATTTATTTTGTGGGGCTGGGGATTGAACTCACGGTCTTATGTATGCTAGTCAAGTGCTCGACCACTGAGCTAGCCATCAGCTCCAATTTAAGTTTTATTTATTTTTGGATGGGCCGGGGAGATGGCTCAGTGGAATAAGCGCTTAGCTTAAGCTACATCCCTGATTCTTTTTTATCTTTATTTATTTTTGTCTTTTTGAAACAGGGCCTTGATATGCAGCTCAGGCTGGCCTTGAACTTGCAGTGACTCTTCTGCCTCAGCCTCCGGAGTACTGGGATTACAGTTGTGCATCACCACACCTGGCCCCTTTTTAAAATTTTGAGGCACAGCCTTGTCACCAAATTGCGCCAGCTGGGCCAAATTGATGCTGCTGCTGTCTCAGCCTCCCAGAGTTGTAGGACTACTGGCCTATGCCACGACACACATTTATCATCTATTTCCTCCATTATTTTGAGGCAGGGCCTCACTATACAGTGCTGTCTGGCTTGGAACTCACTCATGCGCACGGGCTAGCCGCACACCTATGGCCCCCCTCCAGCCTCAGCCTTCCAAATGCTGGCAGTGGTTACAGGGGTGTGCTACCATATCCGGCTCACGTTTTAAACAGCACTAATCCTTCCAGACCAAAACACTGGTGTGAAACTGCCAACTAGGCTGGGCTCAGTTATACACATGTAGGCTTTATTTATTGAATCCTTGAGTGTGTGTCTGGGGTAGAAACAGGAGAAAGGTAACTAAAATTGAAATTGTTTAAAGCTGTGGATAACACAAAGAGCCTATCATTACAGAACAATAAAAATGTTCACTTTTTGGGAGTAGTGCTGCACACCTGTAATCCCAGGCACTCTGGGAGGCTGAGGCAAGAAGATTCCAAGTCCCAGCGCACACCAGCCTGGTGACCGAGATTCTGACTCAACAAAACCAAACCAAACCAAACCAGTGCTGGGGTTTAGTGGTTCAAGTCGAGGCTGGAGGGTGGCCATAGGTATGCGGCTAGCCCGTGCGCATTAGTGAGTTCCAAGCCTTCAAGTCGAAGGCCCCTGGGCTCAAGGCCCAGCGTGGCTGCTTCTCCCCCCGCGCCCCCAGCCAATGGGGTAACACTTCCATACACTATAGGAGGTGTACAGAGCCACTTCTTGCTTGAGGTCTCCCCGCCCAAAGTATTTTCTTCCCTCTCCATAACTAGGAAAAACAGCTGAATTGATTATTTTTCAATCATTCAGGTCATCATTATTCACTAATATGACTGCTATAAATACAAATATGTATTTTTGATGTAAAATAAGACACCGGAAGGGCCGGGAGATGGCTCAGTAGGATAAGCGCTTGACTGGCAAACGCAAGGATCTAAATTCAATCCCCGGTTCCGCAAACCGGAGATTAGGACTACCATCAGAACATAGTCTGCTATTTCAGTTCTCACCTCGGCCTTTAAAGGGAGTGACAGATTATGTCCCACCGTAAGCTGAACGCCTCGCTCTGCCCCCCTCTACCCCTCTCCAGGAGAGCGGCGCTCCCGCAGGCGGCCCAGAGCAGGCGGCGGCCCCGGGCCCGCGCGCTGAGGACCCCGCCTCGGCCCGCCCCTGTGGCAGCGCCATGGAGCCGCGGGAGGTGAAGGACCGGATCCTGGAGAACATCTCGCTGTCGGTGAAGAAGGTGAGCCGCCGGCGCCCCGCGCCCACCCTCCCGTACCCCCCGCGTCCCTCGTCCCCCGGGCTCCCGCGCGCGGGACACCGCCCTTCCCTCCGCGACCCTGGCGCCGCATCCCGCGGGCCGCGCATCCTCGGCGGGCGGCGGCGGCCGGGTCGCACGACTTGCGGCTTCCTGAGCTCTGTCCGGCGACGGTGACATTGCCTCTGGCCCTCCCCGGGTCATCCTGCTCGAGGATGGCAGTTTCCAGGAGGTCAAGACTGAGCACCCGATGCGCCCTGAGACTGCATTCGGATGGCCCTGTCCCCCGCCTCCGGAACGCTCTGTCCCCACTTTACTTTCTGACCCCGCGCCCTTCCCTCTGCTCCACTGCCCGCTCAGCGTCCTGGAGGAACTTCGGCGCTGGCCCTCGCTGGGTGCGGGCTTGCTGGAGCCTGACTCCAGGTGGGGACCTGTCAAGGGCATGTGTGTGATGCAGTCAGCTCCTCAGATGGATGAGGGGCCGGTGCTAGAAGGCAGGCAGGACCTTACTCACCGGAAAACCTCAGGGGCCAACCAGCAGGAATGTTGTCCGTATTTGAAATGCCTGGCTCACCCGATCATCTCAGAAACTGGGAGGGAAATATCTGAGAAGGGGAAAAGACTCACTAGCTTGTTTTTGAAGACTTTAACAAACCAAAATAAGCGTTTTATTTATTTATTCGGGTTTTGTTTTGCTTTTGAGATAAGGCCTGGCTAGCCCTGAACTTGCCATTATCTTCCCACCTCAGCCTCCTGAGTGCTGGGGTAACAGGCATGGGCCAGTAGACCTAGCTCAAAACCAGGGTACTAAATTAAATCATCGGATATGTGATGTGTACTGTATTAAATCATCTATAACTGTGCTTTTCCCACTTAAATTTCTGAAAAGAAATAGGTTAGCATTTTCACCTTTCATAAAAATTAAGGAAAATAGACCCAAAGTTTTATTAAAATGTTTCCCTAGAAGTAACTTGCAGGCAGAGGTCCTATAAGTCCTATTGTTTCATTTTTGTGAGCCTGACTAATAAAATGGGGTAGAGGTGTTTTTTTGTTTGTTTGTTTGTTTTTTTTTTTTTTCTGCTTACTCAAGGAGCACAGGATTGCTTGTCTTGTTTGGATTCCATTGTCTTGTTTTTGGATTTGAAACAGATGAATGGGAGAGTGCCCTAGAGGGAAGT